CCTTCAGATATTACACGTAATTGTATTATTCGTGAGTGTCAGTAAGCAGGTTTAGATCGACTGATTGCCTGACTTACAGTGTGTCGTGATATTGTGCACAGTAAAAGCGTATTATATTAAATTATTACGTGATAAATTTGAGACTGATTGGTGTAACTTTCGCTTTGTTCTGCACAGAACGTGACACCATTCTTCACTACTATTTAAAATAAATAAAATTATAATACAGAATTAGCTCTGCAGTCAATTCAATATCAAAACTCCAATATAACTCAATATAACTCAATATAATTCAATATAACTCAATTATTACTTGAAATAATAAAATAATAAAGTAATTGTATTCCACATTTTTATTTATTTGAAAAAAACAGACAAACGAAATCTGTAAATATGTATATGAAACAAGAAGGCAACTAATTTTGGTGGTACCACAATAATTATTGATTATACAATTTTGTTTTTTTATTTTCTATTTTAAACTTGGTCTTTCAAAATAACGCGCTCTAAAATTAGGAATTTAACTTTAGTTATTAACTGTGTTATAAATCTAAACAGCATTTTAAATATTTTTTTAAAATGAACAAATAAATATGCAATAGATCGATGTTTCAAAATTATTATATTTTAGATTATAATTACGTTGTGTAACATTTATTTTTTATTAAAATGATTAATTTTATTAAATAAAAAAATATTTTTGCCGATTTTTCAATATTTAAAATTTTTGATTATAGGAATAAGTGAAGGTTATTCGAATGAAGATAATATTTCCTCCAACGTAATCTGTGCATCAATGTTTCCTCCTTCAGCTGATATTGAGTACCAATGTAATGCTTTCTTTTCATCTTTTATGGTTCCAATTCCATTATAATAACAATAACCAAGATTATATTGTCCCAAATGGTTTCCCCCTTTAGCTGATTTCAAGTACCACAGAAATGCTTTATTTTCATTTTTCGTAGTTCCAATACCATATTGATAGCAATAACCAAGGTCATTCTGTCCATCACTATCTCCCCCTTTAGCTGATTTCATGTACCACTGAAATGCTTTCTTTTCATCTTTCGTAGTTCCAATTCCAATATGATAACAATAACCAAGATTATACTGTCCTTCACTATTTCCCCCTTTAGCTGATTCCATGTACCATTGAAATGCTTTCTCTTCGTCTTTAATGGTTCCAATACCATTACGATAACAATCGCCAAGATTATACTGTCCCGCAATACTTCCCCCTTCAGCTGATTTAATGTACCATTGAAATGCTTTCTTTTCATCTTTTGTAGTTCCGATACCATATTGATAGCAATAACCAAGATTATTCCGTCCTTCACCAACTCCCCCTTCAGCTGATTTCATGTACCACTGAAATGCTTTTTCTTCGTCTTTCGTAGTTGCAATTCCATTATGATAATAATAACCAATATTATTCTGTCCCATATGGTTTCCTCCTTCAGCCGATTTCAAGTACCATTGAAATGCTTTTTCTTCATCATTTATTGTTCCAATTCCGTGTTGATAACAATAACCAAGACTAAACTGTCCTTCACTCCTTCCTCCCTTAGCTGATTTCAAGTACCATTGAAATGCTTTCTTTTCATCTTTTGTAGTTCCAATTCCATGTTGATAACAATAACCAAGACTATTCTGTCCTTTACTATCTCCCCCTTCAGCTGATTTCATGTACCATTGAAATGCTTTCTCTTCATCTTTAATGGTTCCAATTCCATATTGATAACAATAACCAAGACTATTCTGTTCTTTACTATTTCCCCCTACAGCTAATTTAAAGTAGCATTGAAATGCTTTCTTTTCATCTTTTATGGTTCCAATTCCATGTTGATAGCAAAAACCAAGATTACTCTGACCTTTATGATTTCCCGCTTCAGCTGATTTCAAGTACCATTGAAATGCTTTCTCTTCATCTATTATTGTTCCTTTACCATAATAATAAAATTCTCCAAGATTATTCTGTCCATCGCTATCTCCTCCTTCAGCTGATTTCAAGTACCATTGAAATGCTTTCTTTTCATCTTTTATGGTTCCAATTCCATATTGATAACAATAACCGAGACTATTTTGTCCTTCACTACTTCCTCCCTCAGCTGATTTCAAGTACCACTGAAATACTTTTTTTTCATTTTTCGTAGTTCCGATACCATATTGATAACAATAACCAAGATTAAATTGTCCGGAATGGTTTCCCCCTTCAGCCGATTTTATGTACCATTGAAATGCTTTCTTTTCATCTTTTGTTGTTCCTTTACCATAGTGATAACAATAACCAAGACTATTTTGACCTTTATGATTTCCTGCTTCAGCCGATTTCAAGTACCATTGAAATGCTTTCTCTTCATCTTTTACGGTTCCAATACCATATCGATAACAATTACCAAGATTATTCTGCCCTTTACTATCTCCCCCTTCAGCTGATTTCATGTACCAATGAAATGCTTTCTTTTCATCTTTCGTAGTTCCAATTCCATGTTGATAACAATAACCAAGATTAAATTGTTCCGAATGGTTTCCCCCTTCAGCCGATTCCATGTACTGTTGAAATGCTCTTGTCTTTCCAATTTCACTTTCCATTTATGTGATAGATAATTTTTGTTCGGCTGTATAAGAGTTTTTGTTAAAATATATAAATGTGAAATAATTATATAGAGATAAGAAACTTTTATTATTTTTTAATTATGATAAAAAATGAGATTATAAGTAATATAATTTTAAGAGAAGCTAATAGTAAGTCTTCATTCTGTGAATTTTTTTATTCAGAATTTGTTATATAATCATGCATTTGCACAAGCACGAATGATATTTATACAGCATACATTAATGAATCTTTGCGCACGGTAGATGTATTATTGCCATAACAGCAAATGTATCCTTTTTTGAGAACACTATGGACATTTTTTTATACATTTCATGCACAATAATTAATTTTGAAGATATTTGGTAAAGACAATACAATTCCTATACAAATCAAATTTTTTAAAGTAAACATCATATGATAAATACAAGGATCTTTAATACAAAAAAGTTTTAAAGTTTTTCATTATGATACATAAATAGAATAAATGACAATGAAAAAGTCAAACAATATATACATATCAAAGTTTTGATTGGCTAGATAAGTATAAGGATAAAAAAAGCTTTCCAATTGGCTAGATAAAAAACTATAAAGTAACCACCATGTACTTAAGTTGATTATATTTGTTATATTAATGTTCAAATACAATAAATACAATTAAAACTTAGATTCACTCACAAGTGTTCGAAAAAGGACAGGGATGTGTAAGCATTAAATTGAGATATTAATTTTTTTTTATATCAAACCATTTAATAGAATATTTGGAATTTTAAAAATAACTCCGAACACGAACAATCATTTTTAGCCATATTTGCAACTCACCATTTGAATTCCCTGGCAAAAAATTTCGATTTCTTATAAATTATCACTGTTGTTACTTGGTTAGAAATCTAAGTAATGTCAGCAAAAGAGATTTGTTCGAAAATGCTCTGAAAAATCGATTTATTACGAAGAAATCACGACAATTTGGAAAAGAGATTACAAAAATTTAGAAAAATATGTTGCATTAAAAAGTTTACGTAGCGCAAATAATGTAGATGAAATTTGAATATTTTTTTGGACTATTAATTACAAATTCTAATATCATGATTTTTTTTTGGAATTAATTATTATTTTATTCTATATTTTTACAGTATATTGTTATTATTATTATTATTCAAAAAAAAAATATTATTATTTAGACCCTAATTCTTCAAAAAAGACATATTACCAAGTGACTTAAGAACTTATTTACAAAATAATTTTGTATATATATATGTATATGAAAAATATTTGTAATTCTCTTAATCGGGAAATCAATTTATTTTTTATTTTTATTTTTTATTTTTATTTTTAATTTATTTAAAGGTATTAATAATTTAAGTGTCTACGGAAACAAAAATAAATCCGAAATAAAAATTTGAATTCAATTCAAATAATAATACTTATATATTGTTTCTCCATGATCAAAATTTCAAGTTAATTTAACTTTAATATTGTATTTATTTATTTTTCAATTTAAATTGGATAGGTGCCTTTAAAATATCACTTAACTAGTATGTCATTTAATTTATGATCTACTTAAAAAAATGTATAATAAAATACCATTTTTTTTTTTAAAAAAAAACGAGATAAACGAAATCTGGAATGAAAAATAAACGGAATATTTTATAGTTCGCATTGCTCATTATTTATGTTGTAGTAATTTAAATTTATAATCAAATATTTTTGATGGTACATTACACAATAATGATAGATTACTGTGCATTTTACAATTTTAAAATTATTTTCAAATAAATAAATAACGCGCTCTAAATTTAGGAATTTAACTTGTTTATTATAAATTCAAATTAAATATGCAGCAAAAATAACATAATTACTTTTGTGAATATTTAAAAATTTTAAGATTATTAGATAGGTGAAGATTATTCGGATGAAGATATAGTTAATTATACCTTATTCTTCTTTAGAGATTTTATGTACCAGCGTAATGCTTTATTTTCATCTTTGGTAGTACCGATTCCATAGAAATAACAATTCGCAAGACTATATTGTCCATCACTATTTGCCCCTTCAGCTGACTTTATATACCATTGAAATGCTTTCTCATCATTTTCTGTAGTTCCAATAACAAGGAGATAACAATATCCAAGTTTATTCTGTCCATCAGTATTTCTTTCTTCAGCTAATATCAAGTACCAGTGAAATATTTTCTCGTCATCTTTTGTTTTTTTAATTTCACCAAGTGAAGTCTGAGCATACCTATTTCCTCCTTCAGCTGATATTGAGTACCAATGTAATGCTTTCTTTTCATCTTTTGTAGTTCCAATTTCATATAAATAACAATTTGCAAGACTATATTGTCCATCATTATTTCCCCCTTCAGCTGATATTGAGTACCACCGAAATACTTGCTCTTCATCTTTCGTAGTTCCAATACCATCCTGATAACAATAACCAAGATTATACTGTCCATCGCTATTTCACCCTTCAGCTGATTTCATGTACCACCAAAATGCTTTCTTTTTATCTTTTGTAGTTCCAATTTCATTATCATAACAATAACCAAGATTATATTGTCCTTAACAGTTTCCCCCTTCAGCTGATTTCAAGAACCACTGAAATACTTTCTTTTCATTTTTTATGATTCCAATTCCATTATGATAACAATAACCAAGGTTACTCTGTCCATTGCTATTTTCTCCTTTACTGATTTCATGTACTATTATAATGTTTTTTCGTAGTTCCAATACCATGTTGATAGCAATCTCCAAGATTATACTGTCCTTCACCAACTCCCCCTTTAGCCGATTTCAAATAAAATCCAAACCTGAAATTAATTAGCCATTATAAAAATTATATTCAAAGGAATAAATTTCAGATTTTGTAAAAAATAAATAGATATTTCTTCTATTTATTTAATAACATTAATGAAAAAAAATACTTTTAATCATGAATTAAGAAATAATTATTTACATAGTAAAAATAATAAAAAAGATTTGAAACAAAAAAATTAAAAAGAATTGAAATTTACTATAAAAATCAACATTATTTTATAATAAATTTATTTATAAAATGTAATGTATTGCATAAATGAAAAAATGTAAATATTAAAAAATAACTATTGCTCATATTAAGTAAAATAGTAAAGTTGATAATATCAAGATTAAACAGAAATAAATTTTTTCTATCTATTCATATCTATTAGTATAGGAATAAAATACTTTTTGGAACAAACAAAAAATAGAATTGATAATGAAAAGTTAGCATCATCTTTTAATTAAACTGATTTATTAAACTTAATAAAAGTTTGAGGTTGGAAATATTTTGTTAATTTGAGTTTTTAATTGATGTTTTATATTTTACAATTTATTTGTATTTAATAAATTTTTACATAAAAATTATTTTATTTTACACAATGCTATTTTTGTATTTTTCTTTTTAATCTTTAATTTGCAATTCACAAGAAACAGAAAAGATCTACATAATAAATTTTGGAGCAAAATAAAATTTTAAATATAATCGAAAAGAAAGTTTTGTTTATAAAAAAAAGAAAACTTTATCTTATTTTATTAATGTAACCATTTGACTTTAAAAATATATACAATTAGAACCTTTAATTTTTTTATCATAATTGAAAAAATAACTTTTGTAATTTTTCCACTTTGACTTGAAATTATTGCATATATATATTTTTTGTCCAGAGTGAAATGAAAGATCTTATATATCTATACACTATAATAAATTTTGATCATGGGTGTTTCTCTGTACTCATGTGAAATTTATTTAATAAGATTACAATTTTTATTTTTAGATATTTTATTGAAAAAAAAACAAAAAAAATATATTGTCCTCTTCTTTTCTAAGCTTTAACTAACTATGTTATTAAAATCAACCATTGTTCTTTAACTTTTCTTTCTTGTATCCTTTTGCAGCTTTTAATTTGTTCAAGTTTTTCATAACTAAAAGGTCTGAAAAGAAAATCTCTGAGAGCATGTTGATATTGCCTGTTGAGAAAGCAAGGGGAACAAGTACAACAAGTGCTTAAGTTTAACCCAGTAGTTATTAGTGAATTTTGGAAGTATGGAAAGACAAATAATAATAAAGTAATCAATTTTCTATACTATAGGACAATAAAGGTAAAGAAACTAGATAAAATAAAAAAAAAAGTAATTAAAAGAAAGATAGTAAATATAGCAAAGAGAAAATATGACAAATTCTAATCTAAAGATAATAAGAAACAAACGAAATAGTTTTACTAGGACTTTGTAAGGATTTAAAGGATAGATGAGTTCAAAAAATGAAGAAAGTAAGTTTTGACCAAGTCACGTAACAGTTTGAGTGAAGAATTAAAGATCAATAGTTTATTTTAAGATTCTAGGTTATACAATACAGTGGTTCACAAAAGTACTGCAACAAAAAAAAAATTATCTTTGTTGTAGTATTTTTCATTAATCTTAATAAAAAACTTGAAATTTTTTTTTATTTTTATATTTATTTTATTTAAAACTTGATAGTAATATAGTGATTATCGTAATTAACATCTTGTGTCACCTGATATTAATCGATTTTGTTTATTTTATTGTTGCAATACTTTTGCTACTTTTTTAAAAAATTATTTATTTAATTTTTTAATAATAAAAATAATAATAAAATCCCACTTACCCTATTAAAAAAAACCTTTCACCGATCATAATTCAGGTGATTTTATAAAAAAAAATCATCTATGAAACAAATATCTGCTGATAAACGGGCTAGGATAGCTGCGCTTCTCGAAGAAAGAAATACCGTCCGTTATGTTACCCATATTGAAAGAGTTCATTACTCTTTTGTCTCTAGAATAAATAAATAATTAAATGAGACAAGTAGTAATGAAAATAAACCAAAATCTGGATGTCCATGTATCATTACTAGCCGTGATGAACGAAAAGTGTTTTGACTTATAACATCTAATGAAGCATCCACAGCAATTCAAGTGAAAGAACAACTCGAAAGGGATGAAAATATAGAAATAAGTGCCAAAACCATAAGGCGAATCCTCTGGAAAAATGGCTTAACAGCAAGAATCAAAGTAAAAAAGTCATATCTCAAAAAGACATATTGAAATTGTCGATTTGCCTTCGCGAAAAGATATCGCCATTGGATGATTAAAGATTGGTCTAAGGTAATATGGTCAGACGAAAGTAAGTTCAATATTTTTAGTAGTAATGGAAAAGAATATTGTTGGAAGAAAGTAGGAGAACCTTTAAGAAACTCCCATGTAAAGCCAACTGTGAAATTTGGAAGGGGAAATATTATGGTATGGGAATGTTTTATTGCACTTGGTGTAAGAAACCTCTATAAGATAGATGGAAAGATAAATAGTGACCTTTACGGAAGAATACTTATAGAAAATTTTTTAGAAACACTTACTTGGTATAATCTAAATAAAGAAGATGTCATTTTTCAACAGGATAATGACTTCAAACATACTGTCAAACTTTACCCAAGAGTAGTTTAATGAAAATGACATAAAGGTACTTGAGTGGCCTGCTCAATCTCCAGATTTGAACCCCATTGAACATTTGTAGAATGAAATAGATAGGAGACTGAGAAAACTTCCTGTAAAAGTTACAAAGAAAGATCAATTATGGAAACAGGTTCAAGATGTGTAGAATAATATTGATCTTGAGGTTTGTACTAAGTTAATTGAGTCAATATCACAAAGAATTGAAGATGTGATAAAGGCAAAGGGAGGGTATACAAGATGGTAATATATGCTAAACAATTAGAATATATATATTTTTTTTATTATATTTATTTTATTTTTTTTTAGAAAATTAAAAAATATAGAATTTTTAAAAAACCACATATGTAATGTAACATAAAAATTTTAAATAGACAAATATATTTACAAAATTTTCAAATTAACTTGTAATAAATTTTATATTATTAAATAGTTTAGAATTAAGATTATTTAATAAATATAAATTTATTATTGTGTGATTTATAATTATTGAGTTATATTGATTTGAAAATTGATTTTTTTTTGTTGTAGTACTTTTGTAAGCCACTGTATAACAAGTTAAA